CCAGCTTAAACGCTGATCAATCCCTGTAATCGAGTTACAACACTGACTGATGCACATACCTCCAGGTAACTGAGTCCTCGTCGAATTCGTTCAAGATCAAGATTTAGTAAATGTGGAAAGTCATTTGTGAGTACCAGCTCTTCATAAGCATGGTACACTTGACAGAATCGATTAGCGTATCATAGAGATTTTGCCTCAACTAATGGCACAGTGTCAATCGGGATGTGGAGAATTAAGCGTTTCGTAAAGTTTGTATCTCACAGCTCACATTCAGGTAACTTACTGCTTCCCTTCCATTGACTGCCTTTCACTAAGCACGGAGAAAGTCTTTATCCTGCATAAGTCTAAACAGCGGCCCACGGAAGCCAAAAATCGAAAACATCTAATGAGTCAGATTTTGAAGAGAGTTGTGAGTTTAATCGAATTTTGGCTTAAACGATTATCACTCATGTTAGCCTTATTTGACCCTATGCCAAAAGTTTCATTTCACTTAATATCGGTTCGCGAAATTCGTATGGAACCATAAGAATACTATCGTTTATCATTGTCCTCAAGTATTGATTTGTTGCCTTCGTATAATTAAAATATGACATTATGCTGCTGTCAGCCGTGCAGCGCAAAAAAATTTTCTTACTCGTTGTGAAACATTTCTGCCAATTCCGAATAAAAAAAAACTAATTCAGATTGGGTCAGAAAGAGTATCGTTGAATGTGATGACGGTCGCTAAGGAGCTGAAATGTCTCACGCGTATGAGAACCCACAAGCAAGGCAGTTGCCATAGCCCCCAGCTGTTCATATCGATTTTTAGTGATCACAAAGCATACAATGCTTTCATGATTATTTCCAACAGCGGAAATTTCCAGCGGTTCTTCACGGAATATTTGCATCCAAGTGAAAATATTTCCAATAGCGGTAGCAGCACATTTTGCTGAGGTAAAATTGTCGCTAAAGGGATTTGCTCTTCTGTTCCTCTCCTATAAACACTATAACAATTCAAACAACTGATAGAGGTGAAACATCAAAGAAAACTGCCTAACGATCCTCCACAACCAGGCGCAGGGAGGCTATAATCGTCAACTTTTACTGCCCCATTTAGGCATACAGACCATTCCTCTGTGACATGAGGGAGTTAAATAATTGAGATCGTAAAGAGTGCGGTATACTTACACTTTCCATGGCTGCTATTTCGAATGAAGAGATGACGAGACAGTTCAACAGCAGTGGATTCGCTACGGAGGTTGATTATCCGCATAGGCATATTATATGGATTGATCAAAATAGTAATATGGAAAAAGCAAATTTACCGCACGAAAGGCTAATAGAAGATGCGATTGCAGGCTGATTTATTCTTATAATCAGCTATGATTTTCCATATGAACTCTTCCATATACTTCTGTGTTACTGATTCCATATATCGGAACGAATACGTCTATTTCTAGCATGCCCGATTTAAATCACACATTCATCATATGGCATAACATCATTTTGACCCCACCCAATAATTTTATAAAAAACCTGTTTCGAAATTGGTTTTCAAGATATTCCATAGGAAAATCAGTTAAGGATAAATGCGTATTACTTGAGCTATCTGCGGTTGG